TTTTCTCAAAGACACCTTATATAGCGGTGTTTGACGTCTATCAAACTGGTGTAACGTTGCCCGGGGAGAACCGTGAAAGGTGTCAGGTTCTAATTGGTAACGCAAGTCTGGTCGAACACCTTCGGTCACGAACTAATTCCATTTGTCCGAGGTCAGGGGTGTCGCCTCGCAGGAAGAGAGGGAACTTTTGGCGGGACGAGTTTTGGGAATCGATCCGAGCGATCTGCAATGCCGTGTACACTATAGATTTCCAGCGGAAGCTAGGTCGATCGTTATCGTGGCTGCTTTTTCGAATTTTCGGGTTGGTCTTACAAATTTCGACACAGTGCTTGTCATAGTACGTGCCTCGATTTTAATTCCTCGTGGTACAGGAATTTTAAAAATTCAACAAACTTCTTATTCTATTCGTGCAATTTCATCAAGTGTCTTTCTTTATTCGATTACACGAAATGAAAAGAAAATTTTGTAATACCGAATAGTTTTGCTTTGAAATTTTTTCCTGCTACGAGATTGAAATCCTTCTCTATACGATGGTGGATGAGTATTGACGATGAAACATCTGGTGAAAGGCTGTAGGAATATTTCAAATAGACGAGGCTTCAAACTTTAAAGCTTCTATCAGTTCCAATAGAAATAGGAAGCAGAAAGATTTAAAGAGCACCGAACGAGGAAACGTTTGTTTTATTTAACGGAGCATTGTTTTGTTTCGGAACACGATATGTTTCCATACACCTCGATCTTCTCGTAAGCATAATTCAACGACGTTGAAAACGTTTCAAACATTGGCCCACTTTTCTCATCCCACGATCTAGGTACCTACTTTATATTTTCGTGCGTTTACATAGGTTCACGTATGACTCAAAAGAACCTTTTCTCAGACGAGACACGTTGTACACGTGGAGCTAATGGTACAACGAAAATAGCGCGGTTCTTTAACGAGGAGAGCTTCCCATGTTTGTTGACTCGTCGTTTATATTTTACGAGCTGTGCATCGTACTACAATCATCGATACCCCATGAATGTTTCCAACTTGGTTGCTGAAATGAAACATCGTTCCCAAGATCACTGCACTATTTTGCAGTGTTATATCAATCATTTTTTGACAAAATATTTATATGCAACTTCTAACAAGGCAAACTTTAAGGAACCAAAGGAAACTCAAAGCTAACTAAACTTGCGAATATTGGAGCGAAGGATCGGACCGAGGAGACGGAATACTAGTATAACGGAGTGTTCTGTAACTGGTGCATACTTAATTGAGTTAAGTACATACGTGCCAGGTAAATATTGAAAGTTAATTTTCTCGAAAACATTCGATTGCTGATTGTACCAATTATGGGACACCTTGTGCATTTCGAAGCAAGTGAAATGAATTAACTACCGGTGCCGTTTCGAAGTGGAACAAAGAAACAAAAAGTGTAGGAGCTATTTCACAGAACCGACATGCCCCGATGTGTAGAGAATGAATTGGAATTTTCTCGCGAAATAACAAGTTGACGCCTGCGGATCGATTCGCACGGAGTCTCGTTCATAGTTTTTCTTGTAGATTGGTGTCGTTGCACGATTCCGCTCGCGATTCCGCTCCCTGGCCAACGACAGAGCACGTGTTTTCTAGGTCACGGTAGAAGACGACGGACTCGTTATTTCCGCGAAGCGACGCGCTATTTTCAGTCGCTCGACGAAGATATACGTGGGCTCCGGAACACAGTCCCTTTTTCCTCCCCTGTCCTCGACACCGCCACTACCACCATTGACGACTGGAAATAAACTCTTCTTCGCGATGCTAACAATGAGAACGGCTTTTCATTCAACTGGTTGCCTTGCTTTCCTTGCATCTGTACGAGAAAGACGGGAACGCACAGCTCCTTCCAATTAGACGAGCTCACAGCTCAGGATGTTATTAATCGCGAGGGCATCGTCGAGAGGGTTTCTTAATTGACTGCTTGTCTTAATCGACGATCGTTCTTAGATACAATGGCTATTGTAACCGGCCAGAGACAATGCTCGACTTTGCTCCTCATTTTTGTCTTTTGTTGATCGAGAGCGTTGCCATTGTGCATCAAAGCACTCTGCGTTTTTATCTAACCCTTTCAATGGATCTACATATCTATACGAAATTCATCCGACTGGATTACGCTCGATCAACTTTTCATCGTCTGTTGATTCTGAAAGCGTAACGTTTGTTGACAACATTTCTTTTCATTGGCGATGTTATTAAATATTTAAAAAATGTTTAAAAGATCATGAAAAATCATTTGAAAGTGATCGACTAATTTCCAATGTTCCTCGGTGCGATTGCTATCGTCGAAAGCCGCAGGACTGAAAAGGTAGAAAACACGTGGCCGAGGATGCAACGTGCTACATAACAGCATGTGTCTATTTTCGCGATACGTCAAGCTATTCTCAGTTACGCTTCGGGTGCACGAAGTGCATCGACTGTCATTGGTGTTCTAGGAATAAACCATCCGTCACTGTGAACTAGTTCGACGCGTGCGTTAGATCTACGACCTGATATTTTCTTCTGCCTTTTGTCGAAGCCGTTCGTCGTTGTCGTGTTTCGCGCTTACGTCACGGACAAACTTTGATAAATAGTTGGCTGTTGTCCCACCTTTCGCTTCGTAATTAAATGATACAATTGAAATAGCGACTTCTTTTCTCTGTGTGTATGTGTATGTTTGCGTAATTCAATCGGAAACGTCAAATACAAATTACCTTTTTTAATTTTCCTCGAACAACAGTGCAAACGTAACTCAACATATAAATACGTTTTCTAATTGAAACTCTCTTTGAACCAATCAAAGCAACTACTCCAAAGTCTTGTAAACTTATTTAATATTCATGCAAATTGCGCAAGTTTCCTCGTCCAATCATCTTCCAAACAATACCTTCTCGTTGCAATTTCTATCGGGAAAGATGAAGAAGAAGAAGAAACAATTTCGGTGAAGTGAATGCAAGTGTCGGTGTCGTAAAACGGTGACCACTTGAAGAATATATACCTATAGAGTACAGAGGGTAGTTTCGAAGAGGAATTTGTGGCTGGTGCAAAAGCTTCCACGGCGGTTGGTAACTAACAAAGAGAGCTTTCAGCCCGGAAAATTCGTCTGGCTTGGGCGCTCCCTTTTGTTCGTCGCGCCGTCTGCACGCCGATTGCACCGCGAGAGAATCGTTTCCGGGGCTAATCTGTCCTTAATCTCACATTTAGAATTGCTGCTGACCTATGAACGAAGGCGAGAAACCATTTGTCCACAATGCTCGCAGGAACGTCGAGCGATAAGAAAGCGGACAGCTGCGAAAAACGCTCGACGATGAGGGTGCGCGATCTTACTCGTCTCGCGATTAATTATTACGACTTATAACGATCAGTCACGATCATGGATAATCGTAAATTAGGTTTTAAATTCGAGTGATTTGGTAACTGAATAACCAGAGAAGAGACACTCGATTAAGACGAGAAAGGAAAGTGAATTTTTGGCATGGAAATGGTGCGCGATAGAGGGCGAAAAGTCGGGAATCGACCCAGGACCCTCACGACCCCACAAAGTGGAGCGTGGAGATGCTCTTTGGTGGGACGTCCCTCTCTCTCTCTTTCCTACTTTTCGTTTCTCTTCTCTTTTTCTTCTTCTCACCCTTTGCTACTTTGCTGGTAGAACACCTCGACGCCAGCTCTCCACGATTCTCCTTCTTCTCAGACTTAGGGACGCTCGATCTTTCCCGTACGAAGCGTTCGTTCGTTGTAGCTCCTTTAAAAATTTTTTCCTTATTAAAAGCTTTCGCTTATTATGATTGAAAAATGTACAATACGGCACGATCGAAAGCGAGGACGTCCAAGGAGACGACCGTGTTCTTGGCGACGAGCCTCAGGCTCGTTATTTCAATTGCTCATGGACGAGCGTTAATTAAGATTCGCGTATTCATTTGGCATACTGCCTGTCGAACACCGATCGGCTCTCGAACTTTTACTCGATATGGATCCGCAGCTTTCCACGTTGACGTGAGTCACGCATGTCTCCCGATGATTTATGTACGTATCATTGTTAACCATCGAATTTATGAACCGAGAAGAAAATTCCTATTCTTTCATCTTCTTGAACCTGTTGACTGATTCGTGTATAATACGAATCGAAAAAAGAAGAAGAGGTAAAGTCTTTGACCCTGTTCTTCCGGTTAATTACGTGTTAGTGATTACTTTGCAAACATGTTAGAAATCATACAATTTGCGCGATGCAACGAGTTAATCCTAAACCATAGTAAACTGGTAACTTGCCCGTTTCTCTCGACGATCCAATCATAGTATCCTCGATTAGCGATTTTCCATTCCGATAATTAACGAACATTCCATCGTAGCTATCTTACCACTAGTGGCTTCCTGTTCTCCCTCGATCTTAGACTAGCTATGTATATAATACGTATAGATATATACATATAATATCGAGTAGTAATAGCTCGGTCGGTGTTAATTCTTTATCGATCTGTCGCTTGACCGATCTATCAAAGTGTATCGCAGCCTAGAAGGCTGTCGACCTAGTGGCTTGCCAGTCTAGTAGCTCATTAAGAGAATAGCTCGGTATAGGGGCTGTTAGTGCAGAGGTAGCGCAACCTAGTTTTGTTACCTTTCTACAAACCTCTGTATGATATACTAACAAGGAGAGGGTCCCAACTTTGGCTCACCAATTTTAATGAAACTTTTAGAAAACGTTGTAACTCTCTTCCTCCTTATAAATCACCCCTCTATACAAGGGTAGATCTCATTCGAAAGTTTTCTACTACATTATCTAAACTTTCATTACCTTGTATCAACACGCCGTTAAAATATGCTTAGTTTAAAGATTCGAAGGATTAAAATCAACATCGCGAAATTGGAGCCCTCTCTCCTTGTAAAACCAAACGTTTCCTCTATGTATATGTGTATAATATACGAGTATGTATGTACGTATATTTCATTTGGCTCAACGTTGGTCCAGATGGGACGGTTTAACGATACGGTTGTGTTTCTTTTTCAGATCGCTGCCGAAACTCAGCAGCCAGGACGAGGATGGGCCGAACCCCCACACCCAATACACAGGCGTCACGCATTTCGAGCCCATTCCGCACGATCATGACTTTTGCGAGAGGGTCGTCATTAACGTGAGCACCTTAAATTTCATTTTATCTTTCCTCGATAAGAATCCCTACGTTCCATTCAATAATCATTTAAAACGTTGTCTTCAACTTTATTTCACGCTTGAGGTGATTTTATATTTGCGTCAGCCTGTAGAACGGTTCAGTCGGAAATCGTTCTATCGGAGCGGCGAGGTAATTGGAGTCGAAATTTCCAGTTGGAAAAAAGTACGAAGCCCGCGTTTGATCGCAATTGTCCGGAATAACGAAGCATACTTGTCGCCTTGTTCGACACGCCAAAGAAAAAGATTGAAATCGTTGAAATAAAACAGAGAATTGCAGTTGAACGAGTCAGCCATGTATGTAAATCGTTTTTCGATTTGTTCCATTCGGCCCGCGTCCATTCAGAGATTTACAATTAACGTATCGGTAACGTAACCCGTACTGTTTGTGTTATCATTTTGCAATGGATATCCAATGTTTCCTCTTGAAAATTGTAGGAGTAACTCAATCAATATAGAATGTTGAATCTGTTTGAAAGCTCGAAGGTTTCGAAAGCATTAGCGATCGTTGAGGGAACGTGTTCCGCATTCGTATTGATTTCCGGTGTGTTTTTCGGCTCGACGGATGTATACGTACATTATCATACCAGTTTCTCCTTGTTTCTCCACTCGTATTTCTTTTCTTTTCGACGAAGCAAGATAATCTCAAGACACGAAGTGACCTACAGACCGTATTTTGGCAGCCGTCCAAGTTCGTCTTGGAATCAGGGGCAATATAGTAGCAAGGTCGTATTGTGTGAACGAAATTATCTGTCCTCGTGGATGACACGACTGCATTGCGCCAATTACAGTAACTGTTTGATCGGTGCCTCGAAAAATTCCCGATACAAATCGTTTCGCGCCATGATCGATCCTCCTGCGGCTAGGTTTGCATTATCGTTGACTTGTACTACTGCGCGTAAGGTACTTCGACGAAACAACAATTTTCATTGTACCTTCGTGAATGATTTCTTTCTGCAAAATGAAATTTGAAGCGAGGCAAGAGTAGGGGTCGATTAAAGAGGAGCGATTTCCGTGACAAATCCTGTCCACTCGTGGACGTTCGATAACGAGAGTAAATATCGACCGGTGACACGGTGCACACGCGTGTGTCCGCGCCGTCGCGGGTGCAATCCAATTTCTGTTCTCGACGGGACGTACGTCGTCGCCGTCGTCGTCGCGTCCTAAAACGCCTTGTCGTTTTTACCAAATTTCGCGTTAAAGTCCACCAAACTGAGACCTTGGTTGCCGTTTACACGCTCGCTTACTCGAGGTCCTCGATTTATCAAAGTTTCAAGTATTTTGGAGTTTCTCCAATTGTTAGAGAAATTGATGATCGTTGAGATCACGTATGTTTTTTCAACTCTTCCAGCGCTAAGTATTTTTAACGAACGGTACGTAACCGTTGACGTTTGTTTCGTCTCGAAAGAAATTGAAATCTCATTCAGCGATTTCAACGCCTTCTTAATTTATCGATTAAAATGAAAATTGCACTACGCCTTCTTGAGGTGGTGGATGCAGTTTTTAAATCGCGAAGATACTCGAAGGTGGTCTTTTGCTCGCCATCATCGATAAACCACCTCCTGCCGCGACAGTTATAACCGATGCTTCTTCTTTTTCTTCTTAATCGTCCTAATGGTAGGATGCAATTACCCTAGTTTCGTTTATTAGTTTTCCGTTGCAACGTGGAGAATCGACAGAAGGTCCTTAGTCGTTTCGCGAATCGTAACAAATCAGTTCTAACCATGATCTCGTTTATTCGTCGTTATATTTACGGGTGGTAATCAACTAAACTTTGACTAGTTTCAATAAAATTTTATTTGCCGATCGATGAATATATGGGATGAAAGGGTTAAAGCCGGTCGCGAATATCGCGGCAGTCTGTATTATCGAATATCGATCGGTGGGTATTGTTTGGCGCGGAAAATTGACGATTCGCAGGCGAGACGTATCGAACGTGCGGTTCTAATTGCACCGCTAACGAAAGCTGATTAAACCTGTGGGCCAGGTTGCGGTGGCCAATAAGTGTACAGCATTAATAATAATAATCGACGGGGTTTGAACGATGTTGGACAGGTGAGCGGGCTAAAGTTCGAGACGCAGCTGCGTACGCTGAACCAATTTCCGGACACGCTGCTTGGCGATCCGTCACGGCGGCTACGATACTTCGATCCGCTTCGCAACGAGTACTTCTTCGATCGGAATCGGCCATCCTTCGACGCGATACTTTACTACTACCAGAGCGGTGGTAGGCTACGTCGTCCTGTCAACGTTCCTCTCGATGTCTTCTCCGAGGAGATCAAGTTCTACGAGCTGGGCGAATTGGCTACCAACAAATTCAGGTACACGCTTTCTCATTTCATAAACTCACGATGGCTCAATTCATAACTCTCTGGGATTCTTTTATTAAAGTCAACGTTCTTCTTTTAATTTTTTGCCTCGTTCGCGGTTAAAAACTGTTGATGCAACAAGATTGAATCTCTCCGAAAAAAAAGCAGAGGATCTCCCATTGAAGTGAAACGAGCTCGTTGTTCGAGGAAATTCAATCTGCAGCTTCTAAGTGGACGACGATCTCTTTTCATGACTTTCGTTACCACGGAAAATAAAAGAGGGGCGAGGAAGTTGGAATTTCTTTTCTCGCTAAATTCTTCCCCCGATCCTCGTTCCTTCACAGACAAAATGATCACTTTCGTCTGCGACGACAAGAATGTCTAAATATGGGTGTAATAGTTGAAGGAATTTTACAGGGAGGACGAAGGATTCATCAAGGAAGAGGAGAAGCCGCTGCCGTCGCACGAGTTCCAAAGGAAGGTCTGGCTGTTGTTCGAGTACCCGGAGAGTTCACAGGGTGCCCGTGTGGTTGCCATAATATCCGTGGTCGTGATCCTCCTGTCAATCGTGATATTCTGTCTGGAAACGTTGCCCGAGTTCAAACATTACAAGGTGTTCAATACGACGACGAACGGCACGAAAATCGAGGAGGACGAAGTGCCGGACATCACCGACCCGTTCTTCCTAATAGAGACTATTTGTATCATCTGGTTCACGTTCGAATTATCGGTGCGCTTCCTCGCCTGTCCAAATAAACTGAACTTCTTCCGTGACGTAATGAATATCATCGACATCATCGCGATCATTCCTTACTTCATCACTCTGGCCACCGTTGTGGCGGAGGAGGAGGAGACGATCGATCTGCCGAAGGCGCCGGTAAGCCCGCAGGACAAGAGCACGAACCAGGCGATGTCCCTGGCGATACTCAGGGTCATCAGGCTTGTCAGGGTGTTCCGGATATTCAAACTGTCCAGGCACAGTAAAGGCCTTCAGATCCTCGGCCGAACCCTCAAGGCCTCCATGAGGGAACTCGGCTTGCTCATCTTTTTCCTCTTCATCGGTAAGTCTTACCATTTTTGTTCCTTTCCTTTCTCTATCTAAGCTTCTTCCTATATTTTAGAAAATAAATCATTGAAACGTAGAATATGGAAAGAGGGGAACCTTCTTTTACTATCAGCTTCTTCTTCGTTAAAATTTTTAATCGAATAACCGTTGATATATTCTACGTTCCATTTCTACAAATCAAGTGTACCCAAACTTGTGAATACTTGTGTAACGTTTCTCTATCTCTCTCCTGCGACGAGCGTGTTTACTTTCCTCGCGAAAATTTTAATTCAGAGCCTGGAATTCAAGAACGATAGACGTTTATTCAGCAGTGTCGCATTTTAACAAGACAACACTGCGAATTCGGTGAACCTTCCTTCGAGAAACAGAGAATTTGCAATTTAATCGTCGTGAAAAACAGAGCGGAAGTATTCGAGAGACTCGCTAAATCATTGATATTCACCACCACTTTAAGGCAAGTAATTTCTACTTGAATATTCCGGAGGGTAGATCCATTGGTGGTTGGCGCGACAGATTTACAACCCCCGTTCGTCTATCGATTCTTAATTCGAGTCTCGACAAAACTTCCAACGATGTTCTTGTCTACAATTCTCTCTCTCTCTCTCTCGCGCGCGCGCGCCAAGAACATCGTTTTATAATTTTGCGATTTTTGGACAACAATCGTCCCGGTAACAACGATACAGCGAAAAAGAAACTAAAGCAAGCCCACTAAGAATTCCTTAAGGCACAATGCACAAAGATCGAGATAAGCAAGACTGGAAATCCAATGAAGCCATGAAAGCATGGATAATTGCTCGGTCAAGCAGCTAAGAGGAAAGAATGAAAAAGAGAAGAGAAGAGAATGGTGGTGAAGATGCATCGAGATATAGGGGATCAGTGTTGAAGAATGAAAAGAGGAGGAGGAGGAGGTGGAATGAAGGTGTAATGGCGGAAATGGAGGATGGAATGGACGCGTTAGAGAGGCTTTAAGGGGCTCGCTAAAGTAGCGTGTCTTGAAGCGTCTGTTCCTCTTGTGTGCGTTCCAGGTGTGGTGCTGTTCTCGTCGGCGGTTTACTTCGCGGAGGCGGGCACGCAGGACAGCTTCTTCAAATCGATACCGGACGCGTTCTGGTGGGCGGTGGTCACGATGACGACCGTGGGCTACGGGGACATGAGGTACAAAGCCACCGGGGGCGTTAAACCCACTGAACCGGTGTTTTCTTCCTTGCATTGCAGGTGTGGTGCTATTCTCGTCGGCGGTATACTTCGCGGAGGCCGGCTCCGAGAATTCGTTCTTCAAGTCCATTCCGGACGCGTTCTGGTGGGCCGTTGTCACGATGACGACCGTGGGCTATGGTGACATGACGTATGATGTACTCACTTTCACTTAAGACTCTAGTTAATGCCCGCCAAAATGAAAACGAACACACACTACTATACTTACTTACTTAACTTAACTTAACTTAAATTAACTAAACTTAACTTACGCTCCTTGATACTTTTTTATTACTATACTAGCAAATACAGCGTTTCCCAATTTTACGAAATAAAATTTAACAATGAAATACCAATGGTTTTCAGGGGATCTGACACGATCCTGTTTGAATTATTGTAATTAATTCATCGTTAGGTACCGCTGTACCAGTAAGACGATTACATTAAGACCTCGGTTAATGCCTGGGATGGAATTCCTCGACTTTAGAGTGCTAAGCGAAACAATACTGAAAGGGGTCAGTTTAATACATATGTAATTTGGAATAGGTGATTATAGGAAGGAATTACAAAGATAAATTGAATTGTTACTCGGTAATTTTTATTAATATTTCAGTACAATTTACACTTGGGAAACGCTGTGCTAGATTAATTTTTCGATCCTGGAAGCACGACCCTCTTTCTCTTCCTCTTTCTCCCAAGTCCAGTATCTTTCCCATTTTTTATCCTCGTTTGATCGCTTTTCTTTTTAGTTTGAACTCTTAGTTTTCTTGACGATTTGAAATTATAGTGCTTGATAGACTTGAACACGCTAATTTTCAATTATCTCGATCATCACGCATCCGTTTCTTAGCCCCTGCTCGGAATGTTTCGTTTTTCTACTTTTTGCTCGTCGATCTTCTCCTCCGGTTCTTTCTATCCTGTACAGGTTGTTCCAAAATAGCCAACGAAAATTATATTCTCCATTATCGTAACACTATAACTCGAACGGCTTGCACCATTAATATATATAATTAAGTTTGGTAATTTAACATCGGTTGGTTAATTGATTACCTAAATTTATGTAATTCTATTAGAACACTCTATTTTGAAACGCCTTGTATATTAATAGAGTGCCGTTCGCAACATTTTCTTCAACATGCTTCGATTCACTCTAGCGAGACGATCGATCGAAACATCGACTGCTCGTTATTTAATTTTTATACAATCGTCCTGGGATACCCGTTTCTTCGTTTTATTACTTTCTTCGATTCCGTGCTGATTCGGCCCCTTACTTCCCTTTACGTTCAAACCTGCTTTCAAAAATTCTCTTTATCCCTTCGAACGAGAATCGCTGCATTTTTCACTCGCCAGACGTTGCAACTCTGATATCGTAATACGAGACGATCGCAAATATTGAGTTGGGATCAAATGCGAGCTTATACAGTTGAGAATTTGAGATTATCAATGAAAGAAAATAATACCATGGATATCATATTATCATCCGTAAAAAGATACATCAGCGAAACTGTATCTTTGATCTCGACTGAATGAAACCTCGAGATCAGCAAAGATTTGACTGTATACCTTAAGGAAACGGGTAGAACCGTGAACGGTAACGATTCAGGAAATTACAGTAGCGAAAGATAAGCTCGTAGTTGGGAAGATTCACGATTGAAGATCACAGGAACAGCACAACGTTATAATATCGACATACTAGTTTCCTGGTTCGCGGTAGACCCTCGAGATTCGAGAGCATCCGTCGTGAGAGAACTCGAGATCTCTACTGTTACGGCCGAAAGGGCTTCTTGAGCAATTGTCTCCCGTAAATCAATAAGTGTCCTCGGGGCAACCGACACTGTTACGTTCCTTGGGAACGCCCTTTAGCCGAAAGGGTCGAGAAATCGCGACGATTTCGATCTGGCGACGATGAAAACGTCTCGCAACGTCGCGTTTTCATCGAGGAGAAACACTCGAGATCGTAACGTCGCCTAATAGAAGACACTGGCTTGCCTGTTTCGCGAGTAAACTGTTAACTCGCTGTGTTTCGGGATGCTGGGAGTGCATACGCCCTATTAAACAGTTACCTAGCCTCTGTACTCTGTCCTTTGGAAATTATACCGTACGGTTGAACGTGGTAGTTGTAGTTTGAAATTAGCTAGAACGTTTGTGCGATTGAAACCATTTGGAATTCCTTACTTCTTCACACGTATAAATCAGGGTTTTAAATAATGTCACTCTCAGCGAGTTGAAATACCTTGTTGGTAGAGCGTCAAAGGGATATTTATCGAGACACCCGATGTATTGAAGGCCCGTTCTAGTTTTCCATTACGATGCACGCATCCAGCTCGACTTCCTTTGTCGTGAAACCGGCGTCACTCGCTTCCTCTATCGAAAAGCTCGCCTCTCGCGTAACCAGCTTTCCTCGTTGCACCGTACTTTGAAAGTACCGAGCTAGCTTCCCATTACCGCGACTGATCGCAGTTACGGAAACCCTTCGTTCGAACGGTCGATCGTATGGTATCAACTTTGAAACGTAACTTTCTATCGAACTTAATTAATAATTGCATTCGTAACCGTTTGAAAAAATTAATTAGCGTCTAGAAATTAAAATCACGCGCTCATCATTAATCCTCAGTTTCCAATTCCTCGAATCATCCAGAAATTATTTATGCATGCCTTTTCTTCGCGATCAAACAAGTTTTCCACAAAAACTGTTCCTGGTCGATTACACTTCTAGGAAAATCATTATCACTGCTACTACCATCAGTCATGGATCACAAAGGCCCAGAGTACAGTGACACCTACAGGAATGATCTCTTTTCTTTTCTTTTTATTTTTCTGCAATTAATTCAATACAACCGATTAATTCACATTCGTGAAACGAAATTAATCGACACGGAACGAGGAATTTCATTTTTCACGCGAGAAAAAAAAAGAACAACGGGGCGTATATTCGTTCCGCGGTGAAAGAAATAGAAGGAAGCTGGAGAGAATGACGACTGTGAAAACCAATTGCAGAGCGTTCGTCGAGCGTATTTGCGAAACGAGCTATGAATTCTTCGTTCCTGTCTTTCATCTCGAACAGTATATTGTTCGTGTATACGGTGACTGTTATTCAATCAGTTTCATCCGTGAGAAGCTTTAGATTCGTCGAGGATAATCGCGATCGCGTACCATGATCTGGCCTACGATAATTGAGAAGTTGAAGCTTTTCATTCGTTGCACGAATAGTTTCACCACTAGTCGCGGAAATATTCGTGTCAAAGCGAAAGGAACGAGGAAAAAAATAGGAAATGATTTTGAAAGTAATGAACGAGTCGAAAAGCGAAATTGCATGTCGTACCGTTAGAAGATTCGATCGGATCTCTGCAACGGAATGGCACGCGCTTGTTTGGAACGGTGCATCGGCACATGAAAATGGAGCCTTTATTTAGAGAGTCACGTTAGTCCCTTAGTCTAGCCTAGAGAGCCCGCTTCTATTAGACAACACGCGAAACACTATAAGTACACACGGTTTTTTCGTTACGCTGCCATTCACAAATACAGATTAGTCTTCCTTAAAGTGCCCGAACAAATATGTGAGTCATTAAGTAAGCGTAGCATTAGTAGACAAGATCAAAGAAGATACGAGTAAACGTTCGGTCAAGAATGATTCTATTTGATCATGACTAATCTCTATTTGTAACACGACCGGTAGTGATGGTTATTTGAAACTAACACCCTTTTGCAAGTTTTCGAGCAATCCAAACTTTGAATCGCTTCGAATTTCATTCGAACCCTAAAAGTCTTCAAGTGCTGCCTCTTAGAGTTTAGTTAAGAAACAGATCCTAAAAGTCTTGGAAGTCTTTAAAGTTTTCACTTTCGCAAATCAAATAAAATTCTTTAAGTTTCGAAGCGATTCGAAACTTTGTCCATATATATATATATATTTATATTTCAACCGATTCATAGCCCATCACTAATCATGACTAATCTCTATTTGTAAGACGAGCAGCCGGTGGTCCGTGTGTATCTATAGAGGTGCCTCCAATACCGCATAAGTAGCGCCACACTCGACTCGACACGGCAGACTCACACAAAATAGAAACACCACACCTAGCACTGAGTTTCTAGACTAGCGAGGAACGAAGCTATTGAACGCTATGAGCGATTAATAGGTATGACAGGAAATGAAAACGTCCTTTTCGATCTGCTTCAGGCCGGTTGGAGTATGGGGGAAGATCGTCGGGTCTTTGTGCGCGATCGCTGGTGTACTGACGATCGCCCTGCCTGTTCCCGTCATCGTCTCCAACTTCAACTACTTCTATCATCGTGAGACTGACCAGGAAGAGATGCAGTCGCAGAACTTCAATCACGTGACCAGCTGCCCGTATCTCCCTGGCACTTTAGGTACGATCTTCGACATATAGAGACAGCGATGATGATGTAGCTTCGTCAATTAGAATTTATACAGAAAGAAAAAACGGTGGGATAGATTTCCAAGTTGTCTCGTCGAACAAATCCCGCTAAGAATATGTACCGATATCGCGTGTCTACGCCTCTGCAGGCAGAATAGTTTACCCTGACTTTAATCCGCTTTGGCGCGAACTTAGCCGTTCGATTTTTCACGCCTTCCTTCACGATCTACGATACCTTGACTATCAATTAACGTCCGACACGAGTAATCCTAACTTGACAGCGAGCGAAGAGCAGGCTTGATTAAGCTACTTGACTGAAGGATGGCTGGCGAGGATTACTTTAAGAGCATCCATTACAGCGATTTAAGCTGGACAAGTAGGAATCGGGTATAGATTTTTGAAACCCGACGAATTTTCGTGTTTCTTGTGCTTTGCAGGTCAACACGTGAAGAAGAGCCCGATGTCGGAATCGTCGTCGGACATAATGGAACTGGAAGAGGGCATACTGCTCCCTCATCCTGAGATTACGAAGAAGCCCAACTGCAACCCTCGCCATAATAACAATATTAATCCAGCCTGTATGAGCATCGAGACTGACGTCTGACTACTAGGTAGGTGTTTACCTACTATTTTTTTTTTTTTCTTCAAGTTTGCTTGAATTTGGGCGGATGTGAAAAATGGTTGAAGGGATTTTCTATATAATTTCAGTGAAGGAGACGATGGCAACGTGGTGGCCAGTGCTGGGACGGTTGTCGAAGAACGGCTACAGTTCCCTTCGGTGCCTGACGTAGGCCTCCTTCACGCGTCGTCGTAGTCGCGCTAGCTGCGCACTGCTAGCGACTAGCGCGTGTACGCGTGCGCATTATAGCACGCGTTCGCGCGCCCCGTCTGTCCAATAGTCTGTCGTCAATACGAGGGGTGCTTCCAATCCATTATTACGCGTCAACGAGATACACAAATGAGGCAAAGAGAATGAAATAGAATGAAATAGAATGAAAGTGAGTAACGCAGAAATTCAACGACCAAGAATCGGCTGACTTAAATATGGGTGCCACATTATTTCTTCCAACGCGACGAGAGTGACGACCGAGTTGCAATCCTCGGCGGGATAGTTGAAGAATGTCACAGAAAGAGGTAAAGAGATAAAGAGGTAAGAAGAATGATCACATGGGCAAATGTCGAGAAGCGACGTTAAACGATTAAACGCGTAACAATAAGAGTAAGATATAAGGATTCTAAAAAGAAGAAAAGAAGCAAAAACGGTAATAAAAGGAGAGAAGAGGTGGCGGATTTCAGTTTCGAGGTGAAACGGAATCGAGAAACGAGACAGCCGCTTCGGAGGTGTTACGATAAACACGCGCACCCCACGTAGGGACCTACGTGCTAATTAACGGGGGATGGTGTTGGATAAACCTCTACTTGTTTCCCGATCATCCCCCACACCACCGACTCCAGTGTTCAATACAAATGATATAACAAATAAAAATTAAAAAAGTAACAAGTAAACGATATTAAAAAAAAAAATAAAAAAAAAAAAAACGAAACGGAAGAGTATTAAATCGCAGCGGCTTCGCGAGAAAACAAAAAATAAAAATAAATAAATAAATAACGTCGTTCGAGCCTCTAAACCGCCCAAAATACGGTTCATGAAAAATCGAGATGATACGGGGGTGGGGTCGAACCGGGCCGGCGACGAAACCAGGGGAATCGTATCAGATAATACTAATTAATTATTATCGATGTAAATTATATATCGAGTATACACGTAGGCGATGGTACGTTAAAAAGAAGAACAAAAACTACAGCATTATTCGTTTTAATGATTACAACACTGCGCGAAAACGGACGAAGCCACGATCGAGCGGAAGAGGAGAAGAATAAAGATACGGTGAAGGGGTTGGGAAGGGTAGGAAGGGGTGAATTGAAGAAACGAAGAAGACTCGTAGAAGACCGTAGGCGTTGCACGGCGACCAGCTAACGGAAACAAGTGTGTATTCCAGCGGAGAGACAATTTTATTTTTTCTTTTGCACTGAAGGACAAAAAACATTGTTGTACGTATTTGAACGCGAGAACCACTGGGATGCAATTTGTTTTTTGGAGCGTAATATATATACATTCTTACACACACAGAGACAGAAACATCTACGAACGTAGTGTATATTCTTATGGACGTCTAATGGTTGAGTCGTCGACGATTGTGCACAAATGAGGGTAATTGTATAGAATATGGTCTACTTTGCCTTTATTTCAATAACACTGGTACACGGTACGAAGGTCAGTGACCTAAATAATTTGTGTCATTAGGGCCAAGCATCATCTGGAACTTGTTTCAAATTTAAGTCTGTCGAGTGGAAAATGATACTTTGATTCGATCGAAATATTGTGCACGATCGAGGACGCGAATCAAACGAGGTCGAATCGATGAGAAACGATCCGTAGATATGTTTCTGTGTGAATCAGCGACTTGATATCGTGGGAGATCGGTGCGAAAGGCTTGATAAGTTTGAAAAACGATCGAAAGGAAGATGAAAGTGCGTGGTCGAGCAATGTGGGCACGAGGAAAGCCGACTGGCAGGGTGGAAAGTTGCGATCAATGGCCGGAAATGTGGTCTGCCGATGGCGCGTGTAACCGTGTACGAATATCGCGACGGATACTGTTTCTTTTATTCATTTGAACGCGATTTTTAAAAAGGGAGGGAGTCAAGTAGTAGCGAAAGCAGTATCACGCAATGATTCATTTAGCCAGGCAGTGTTGTAAGATGATACAAACGAAAAAGGCTAGAGGAGAGACGGTGAATGGTCCAGAAATGTTCATGTTTCCGGAATTTTCGTTTTATGATTCGTTTACTGTGATAATTTCTTTTCAAAAATATTTAGTACGAAGTAAACTTCGGTAGTTAAAGAAATGATTGACGGTTCAAAATGCGACATTAAAGGCTGTGATTGAACAAACGAGAGTACCGACAGAGAGAAAAAGAAGAAGAAACTAAATGGATAGACCAATCGCCTCTTTCCCTATCTCTTCGCTGTCGTCTCGATGTTTCGCCTCTTTCCCCGGGCGAAGAAAGCGCATCACAAAAAAAAAAAATTAAAAAATCGCCAAGACTGCCATTTTACCATTCTCAGTGAAAACGAAACGAAAGAAGCGTAATATCCACAACTTTTTCCGCTTAGAATCGACCCTTCGAACACCGCGAGACGTACAACGGACCCCGATCCAGACATTTTCGTGATTCTTGACGAATTTTCGTCGCTTAGCCCGTTAATTCGCGTCGAAACGCAAGGTGCATCAAAGAACTTGAAATTTCGAGTTTCCCTCATCACGATTCGTTGAAAGCCACGAGGGAGAATGCTGGCGTTTCGATTCGTCCGATTCAGCGTAACGACGCGTCGCGATTTATCTTATTCGCTAAAAGAAATTAATATTAATAATAATAATAATAATAATAATTCTGGTATTTCCGTTGTACGTGCCAGGTCACTGATTAACAAAGACTCGTTCGTTCGAGGAATCGAGCCATCCCTAACGGAAATAATCCGACTACGATGAAGCAGGAAGTCTGACGTTGCGAAGCAAGCCAGGAGCATACAATTAGTGGTAAACTAAAGAACAAAAAACGATGAAACAAAATAAGAAAAAAATGAAAATCGTGCGTAACTAGAGAAACAGAACGAGGAAATATAAATAGGTAGGATGCAAGTAAAGCAGAAACCCGTAAACAAATGAGAAAAAAATGAAAAAAATAACAGCGATTCCATTATTCGATTATACAGTTTAGGTAATTTAGACGCGAGTTTTATCGAGGGATATATCTCATCTCTATCTTTTATTAGACGAAAAGAAAAAAAGAAGGAGCAAGGCCAAGACGAAGCGAAATTTTGGATATTGCCAGAAAAACGTGAACGAACGAGTGAGTGAGAGGCAGCGCGTAATTGGTACGAGTGTTTTTAACCGAGAAAATCAAGTAAAAAGTTTATGAATCGTCCGAATGTTTGTCGATGCGATTGTTTGCAAAGTGAATGCACGAAGAATGAATTTGATCGAGCAAATGCGACACGAGAGGAGCGAAACAAGGGTAAACAAAACAATAATTAAACAGAGATTTACGTTTCACGCGCCTTTATTACGATATTTGAACTTTTCGCCTCGCTAATTTAGTTAGAGAAAAGAAAAAAAATAATAAAAGATGGGAAACATTTATCGGAACTACCAGCCTAGATAATTCCAAAGAGAAGAGAAAAACAAAGTAAATAAAATAAAGTAAAGTTAACGCAAATTAAGTCGGCAGATGATAAATTTATTACATAAATTAAAATTAGTATTACCGTTTAAATTCTATTAACTAAAAACCTATTACTACTACTATTACTACTACTATTGTTACTATTACTACTACTGTTACCACTAATACTGCTACTGCTACTGCTACTACTACTCATACTACTAATACTATTACCGCTACCGCAGATACTATCACTTAAATGCAGCCACAACTCTAACTGTCACGAGTAATTTATCACAAGAACGACAACAAACCACCACTATCACCATCACTATCTACTATCTACTACTATTACTCCTACTACTACTACTACTACTACTACTATTACTACTGTATATTGTTACCACTATCGATAGTAGTGTGATCATTACTTTCGTTGTTGTTATTATCTACGTCTATTACTACTACTACTACTACTACTATTACTACTATTGCTGCTGCTGCTGATACTACTACTATCGCTACAACTATTATTACTACTACTACTAACTACTATTATATCACTAATAGCGATATTAAATACAATCTACAAACTATTACTGTTACTACCGAAATTAAAGAGATGGAAAAAAGTGAATAACACGCTACGGCGAGCAGATATTTAGATAAAGATGAGAAACTACTCTGTTAGACGGTCGTAGCTGTTTAGAGGTGTATAAAATAGATCTTAGATAGATAGTAATGAAGGTAGTATACAAGTGATAGTTAACGAAAAATTCCGATCCCATTCAGATCGACACACGGCAGAGGGTGGTTTTCCATATTTCACGTCAAAAATAAAGCAAAACAAAAAAAAAAAACAAATAAAACAAGACAGATATTGTTAATATCGTTCGGTTCCCATCGGCAGACTTTCGTCGCCCTAGAAAAATATACGAAGAAACGAACTTTCAGCTTTTTCTCACCTCGATCGGGCTTTCGTCGTCGATGATCGCAGGCCAAACAAAACGAAAAAAAAAAAAAAAAAAAAATAAGTACCTTTCTACGATCGTTTGTACGTTTTCTTAACGGTCTTCTCTCAGGCGCTTTTTAATCGAACACTTTCGCCCCGAAATAATCGTCCCCGAAGCGACTAACTTTTCTGTCCGAAAGATTTTCACTTTTTCGAATCGACTGCTCGCGTTCATCAAACGATCGATCGAGTATTAAGTAAGAAATTCCTATTTCAAAGTGGCAAATGCCATTTTATATACGTTGATAATGTGCGAAACGAGTGCTGATGGTCGCCGACACCACGTTCTACCGTCAACGAAACGCGTTCTTTTCTTTTTTTCTACGAGATCTATAAGCATACTTACTCAGCCCTGAAAACGAAACAACAACAACAACCCAATAAAATGTTCCTTCGCGACTGGATGTCGGATGTCGAACTTGTCGCTCTGCCAAACGAAACACCGCGCTGTTGGCTCGATTGAATGCGATTTTTTTCAATGGAAACTCGATCGTTGCTTGTCGATCGCGCTGATTGCCCAAGCGTCCTTCTAAAGTAGAGAAGATAATCGAAAACGAAGAAGAGTGAGAAAAAATAGTGTGAGCGAGAGAAAGTGTCGATGAAGAAGTAGAGGTGAGACGGTGAGAATGAGGAGAGAAAGAGGGAGGATCGAAGCAGATAAGAGTTGAGCATGCATTCCAAAAAGTAATTAGGTGAAAATTAACGGTAGAAGAAACGAAGATGAGAAGGGAGTTAGTCCGCTACGAAGCTAGATAACTTATATTCCGCTGTCGCCGCGCCGTAGAGAACGAACGAGATCCGTTGTTACACTTGCACGCTAACTTTTAAATCGTGAGAAACCGAGTGAATGGACAGCAAAGCAGAGCAACACGCGTAGTCCTCGTGATAGCAGGCTGGCTGGAGCGTAATTAAGTGGAAAATATTGTATGAGTATTTGAAAACCTTATGGCTGTACTGCCCTGGTTGCTATGATGATAGCTATTGCAGGTTTCCGGGTGTAAATTGTGTCCTTTTGTTTCGCTAACATTGCAGCAAGTAGTTTCATCAAAGATCTGAATGTGCACTGATACTTGTATTTTCAATACCAGTGACTATTTCGATCCCTGACAAAGGTATCCGCGGTGTTGGTGAAACGTCTGAACCCAGAAATCTCCAATACGTACGAGTAATTGTTTAGTGTTGGACACCCTCGTCGAGCATCCCTTGCTGTGAATGATCTACCAGTTATTCGAGTAGAATTTGGCAGGTTGTTAATTGGCTTTGTTATTTATTGTTGTCCCAGGTTTGTTATTAGTATATGGAAATGTTCTGAAGAAAAAAAAAAAAAAAAAAGGAACGAAATTGTACCGAATAGTCGAGACAAACATAGTGCAGCAGGGAATGGTCGAGCGACCGAGTATTATAATTAAGGAAGAAACGAAAATAGAAAAAGAAAAAAAAGATATACATAGAAGCGAGTTAACGAGCGCTCGTAGATCGAGCTGATTCACGCTTTCAAGTGATATTATTTAGATATATTACGATCGACGCTGAACAAACAACCATTGAATTACCGTAAATAATTCTTAAATAACGTTTGTTATCGTTCTTAAATTTTCACTGATTTCAGCCGGATCGAGCATTGGATGTCAAAGAAAGGCAAGAAGAAAATAAAAAAAAAAGCTGAGGAAACGAGGGAAGGGAAGAGTGTCGCTCGTGACAAGCAGAGAAATCGTTTATTATCGACAAGTAGAAAGTATTAATCTCTTATTGAATACACTCAAAGAGACAAAACAAACGTAATAGGCAGAATTTAGTAGGCTATACGTGAAATTAATCGAAGAAAACAAATGAGGAAAGGAAAAAAAAAAAAGGAAACGAGGGCTGCACGCGGTGGCGGCTGCCTCTGCCACTCTAGTTGATCGGAATCCGTTTTATTAATTAATTAATTGCCGAATTAATTAATTAATCGAGAACTCATTTATATAGTGTTGAGCACTGTTTTAAGTGCTTCTTCATTTTTTGGCTGTGTGAAGCTTGAACTAAAGTAATTTAATGGGAAGAGGAAGAAAACAAAAAAATTAATGATGTAATTAATCGTATATTGGCTTTGCATAATCACTCTCGACAATTTTTCTGACGCAAGGAAAATAAACTAAATAAATAATAATATTAATAATAATAGAAGTAATAATAATATTTAATAATGAATAAACAACAACAACAACAAACAATAAATAATAAGTAATGAATAATAATAATAACAACAACATTAGTAATAAAATATGTAATAATAATAATGCTAATACTAATAATAGTAATAACTAATGAGTAATAATAATAATAATAACAACAACAATAGTAATAATAAGAAAAATGAAAATAATAATAATCGATAAGTAATGAACGCCACGTCTCCCTCGGTACGTTATACATATTATGATTCCGCATCTCCGTTTGTACGCATTTTAACAAAAAACAGAAAAAATATGGATTTAAAAAAAAAAAAAAATAAAACAAGGATTGCTACAGGATATACATATATATATATATATTTAAAGAGAATTAACGAGAGAAGTTGTATAAATGAAAAGATGATTAAAAATAAAAAATGAAAGAAACGGAATACTATACTCTTAACGGTACTAGTTCAGTATAAACATCCTGCCGAGTTGCCCCGGGTTAAGCTAAGAGCCACCTGGCCCGCATTCAAAATATCTCTATTACGTTTATAAGCACCTTAAAGAGAAGCTAAAGCCAATCGCCTTACTGAGTGGGACACGATAATAAGAAACCAAAAAATATAAAACAAGTATAAAAGATATGTCGATTTAAAAGAATAAATTAACTATGTAAAGTCAGCACACGCGTACATAAAATACACTTATACACATTGAAGACATACAGGGCGTTTCATAAAATGTGGAAGCATCTTCAACGTTAGACAGGGAACACGAAAATCTTGATCTTCAAAATTGAAACGATGTCCATAGTATTGGTGACAATTGAAACTTCCAAGAAATAGAAAAACATTAAGATAAAATCTGCATTCTATCAATTAACCCTACGAATTATGAAACATTCTGTATAGGTACAGACGCATATTTAAAATACATTTACACTCATACGCACTCGCGGAAAGGTGGATGGAAAGACATAGAGTGATAAAAACCAAACAAAGAAACACATAATAATCTATTTTTCGCCCGAGCAAAGATTCTATAATGTAAAATGTATTGTTAACGAACCAGAGGAAGACAAAAAAAGAATGTTTAATTTTCCTAACGAAATCGCCGGAAGCTGCGAGAATAAACCGTGCATGGTTTTTTTCTTTTTTTCGTCGTTCGGTGACAATGAGAGCTTTGTAAATCAACTATTTCTATATATTCCAAACATTTTGTAAAACATGTCGCATCGCGACTAGCGAAGGATCAAAATATGATGGCACAGCGTACGATCACCTCTCGAATCTCAGTTCCCATTGATACATTTGCGATTTTCGTACGTCCATGATGGGTACTAAGTATCGCGTCGCGTTTCCTTACCATCGCGAACAAAAGATTTTCAACCATTATTCTCTTTGTACAATTTACAAACTTTGAAATTCTTAGTTGACCAATCATGTCGAAAATAAAGCCGACTCGTAGGTGAAAAGAAAGCAGGCAAGATGTCTACCTGTTTTAGGGTTTATTAGTGGACATTTGGTTCCCTATGGCCCTTGCAGATACTTCCTGTTTGCGTGCACACTACCTGAATACATGATTGTGGTCCCTTTCAATTCGCTTGCCCTGCTATTCACTGCTCAGCTGAATACCCTTTACCTGATGATTGCCACAATAGAATACACATGAACTCCCAAGGAGACGTTCGACGCGGTTCTTTGCTCGAGGGCTATTCGAATATTTTTTATTAAATGAATATAAGCTGCGCTTGATCGAAGGGAACGAGAGATTGTGCGGTGATCAACGCGTCGCGACGCTTCAGATTTTCCTTTAGCTGCTTTTCACAAAGCGAAGGATCGAATGTGTGACGGAGATGTATGGCGGGAGCAAAGAAAAAAAAAAAGATGCGACGATTGATTGAGAGTTTATATCGTGGAGGTACGGAAATCGAGGTTCCGTTCGCAAGCCGGGTACCAAGGCACTCAGGGCAACGATTAAATATCGATCAACTTATTTGTACGACGATCTAGGCTATTTACGTTGTATGTCCACGACGCCAGAAGAGATATAAACGATGCATTTGTAGGCATTAAATGAAACAAAGTAAAATAAAACGAGGCGGCACGCGTCGCCTTCTCTAAACGAGATTTAGCATTTTGAATAACATAAAGAAAAAAAAAAATTATATATATAGCTATTACGGAGTATATAATAGGTGAAAATGGAAACTTATTTCCTTAGGCTGGTCAGGTGTATGCGATCACCCTGTTCATTTTCTCGTTGAATACCAAAACCAGACGACGTCTATATTTTGCACGATATGGTATATCTTCCCAGTTTCTTTCTCTATAATCCCTTGCAAATGCAAATCGATTTTAATTATCGCATAAGTTGTGATCGCAATCACGAGCCAGTCTATCGTCGTTGCATTATACGAGTTTCTAAAGTAGTAAATGGGAGCCCGTTTGAAAGTAAAAAGAAAAAAAAAAAATCATAATAATTGAGTTTTCTTGGAACGAAGAAGAACGCTGATGAAAGCAAGTATGAGGATAAAAAAGAAAAAAGAATGATTTTCAGAACAGTACTGTAATTTTGAAATGGCACGAAAGGAAGAGATGAAAAGAATCTCGAAAACTCAATGATATAACAGAATTCGCTAATCCATTCATCGATTAAACTCCAAAATCAGTTGAAATGGGAAACACGGAAAACGAAGGATAGGAGGAATAAAAACAATGATTACTACTTATCGATTAGCTGTAAACATTATTAAGGACAGTCATGTAGTACTCATATAGTCTATTTGTTAATGTTTCAGATATTTTATTAAATGTTGATATAATGTACTATGACATTCCTTGTTTGTGCCGGAATTCCCGCAATCTAGTCTTTAAACGAAAAGCAACATAAAAAAAAATAATAAAGAAGAAGAAAAAGAGAAAGAAGTTAGCTAACGAAGCAAAAAGAAATAAACGAGTGCTCCACCCGTGTCAGCTGATGTACTTTTTAAAACGTTACTCAGAAAAATCGATCGGTCGATCAATCGTTCATTAAGACGAAGAAAAGAACATCGTTCAACTACCTATAATAGCATCATTAATATTATTATTAATATATCTAAATAGTTCCCTACACGATGCCTTCGTACAATCGAGCCCGCAATTTGCGCGTAACAAACGAGACGCAACAATTGCACCGATTTACGATCGAAAAAATATATATATATATATATGGTGAAAACACGTTGACAAAGTGGGAGGGAGGGAAGAAAGAACGAACGAACGAATTTAACAAAAAGAGAAACGAACAGACGAAAAGTATTTTGTTACGTACAAATTTGTGTACACCAAACTAACAATAAGTCGAGCCGGTCAATCAATCTCCTCCGCCTAACCTGGAAATCATCGATAAATTTCTTGTAAAAATGTGCCATAATCATTTTGGGAAGTAAGGTACAAAACCCAATTGGCAAACAATAAAATTTATTACGGATATGTTTTGTTTCGGATCGTAAAAGACGGTTCCTCCATTTATGGAGGGAAAGATGAATCTATTTTATGGAGGGGATTCCCAAAGAATCTAGCAACTGCGCATGCGTAACCTCCATTCGCCCGTGCGCGCCAAATGTGAAAGTTACAAACGATCGAACCTTACTTTCTGGATGATTGTATAATGTTAAATAATTGGTCATTTAAGTAAAAGGTTTGATTACCACTTCGCCAAAAGTTCAGCGAACTTACTCACGCCTTAAGATACAAGTTGCTATCGCTAATTAAGTTCGCTGTATCTGTCGACGAGTCAAGTTATTTGTCTTTTGAAAGAATAAAGAAGGAAGTTGAACGAATCGCGGAGATTGACCGGTGATTCTGACACGGAAATTTAAGAGAAGAATAGAGGTGTGATATAAAGAGAAAACAAGGGAGTTCGAGAGAGACTAGAAAAGGCATGAGAAAATGTCTGCTGATACACCAAAGAATCTAGAGGAAGAATGGGGGCAAAAGTGATGAATTATAAATAAAAAAACGCGAGACTTTTCGTATAGGTATTATAATTGAAACGCCACGCGGCAGCGCTCACGAATAACTTTATAACGTTTTATAAATAAATTGGCATATCGACTTTATCAATCGGGTATAAAGGTGAGAGAGAGAGAGAGAGAGAGAGAAAGAGAGAGTGAAAAAGAGAGAGAGAAAGACCTTCCCTCCGGAAGTAAAAAAAAAAAATATGAGAGCAACGGAACGAAAGGAATGACATAAGGGTGATGGAAAGAATGAAAAAATAGAGACGCGTAAAATAATTATTCTCACTTCTTCATTGATGAACGCTCTGCTGGTTTGGAGCTGTAGTCATATCGTTAGTGTATAAGTCTGTATGTGACGATGTTAATTATTGTAATATAAAGAAAAGAAAAAAGAAGATGATGGAAGACGAACAGAAGACGAAGAAGAAGAAACAACCAAACCATTATTACTACGTAGGAGCATCTCAAGAGAAAATAAAAAACGGAGGATATTTACACACGGATGAGAACAGATAAATGGATGATGGACGGTGTTTGTCTGGTATTACCGGGCATGCTTCAAAACAAAATAGATTTTTTATAAACCGAAAAGATCTGTTTCCGACCTTTTTCAGTGAATATTCTCATATACTCGAGACTTGACTCTCTCCGTTTGTGTTTTTCGCAATGTGGATCGCTTTTACTTGAGAAAACGAAAGTGTGAAAGAACGAACGATAAGCGAATGAGTGACCGAATGAGTGAAAGAAGAAATATGAGTGGGAGAATGTGAGTGAAAGAAGGTGAATGCTAGCAAAAGCAAATAATAACGCAAATGTGGGCAAAAATGTGAGAGAAAATGAGAATGAGAGAAAGAAAGAGAGAAAGAGAGAACACAAGAGAGAGACGAAGGAAGCAATCGCACCTCGACCGAATTTAAACCTATAATTTCCTCTCACACCTCTGCGCAGTGTTTTGGGCCTTTCCGTCCAATACGCGATGTACCACTGTCATTATTTATTTAATTTTTTGCAATCTACGTACAATAAAAATTGTTGTTGCTGAAAAAAAAAACGATAAGTGTAAATGTGTATACTGTACATTCAACCTTCGTTTTAAAAAAAAAAAGAAATCATTATTAAGGTCTCACTGGACCAGGATTCCTGCCGTCCTGGCGTGTGTTGTAATTGTACATGTACATATACATGCGTATTTTTTAATATCAGACGGTAATTTACTCGATAATTAGGATCGCTTGTTAGAGTATACATATGTATGTATTATACGCATACATACATACGTACGTACGAGTACATGAATATAATATGTATATATACATATAGGTACACCTGATGCGTGCAATTACCACTGTGTACATATATTTATGCATACATAAATATGTACGCATATATGAAGAAACAAAAAAACAGAAAAAAAAACAATGAGAGCGGCATTCCCGACGCCGATGTCTGCGATGAACGATCTCCGAAAGGAATAAAGCACTTTCACGTAGCATCGTGTTTCTGTCGCCGTTTCTCTGATTACCTCTCTAACTTCCCGTTGATTTAAAAAACTACGTGCCTAAATCATTTCCTATATGAAATATCCTCGTTATGAAATACTGCCTAAAATTATGTTGTGTTTTTTAATGCATTTCTCATTTCTTAAAAATTTCAATGACTATTTACATCTTTCTTTCATTTTTTCTATAGTATTTGTATTACCTACGCCTAGTGAAAAAAGATAGTGTATAAAATCATCACACTTTGAGTCCAAACGGACTACATATTACAATCGCTACCCTCGAGTGTCAGCTGAGGAGAGTCCGTTATTGTCAGTCGATAAGGTAGATATCTTAACTGAGTCCAGGAATTTTTGGTTTTTCTTTGGATTATACTTAAAATACTCTAGTTTCCTAATTGCTTTCATTCTGTTTTCATCCAAATTGAGTTACTTTGTGTTGTCAGAGTCAAACTACGGTAGGCCCAGCTAGTATTAGGATGGATGACCATTGTGCTGCTGCCACAAAAGCATGAATCAAAGATGTTTGGTTTGTTGTAGGATATTCTTTTCCTGGGAGGCTACCTCTTCTGGACTAAAGCGAACTAGTCCAGAAGAAGATAACAAGCCATAAATTAGACTTAAAAGTAGTAAAAACCGAGGGAGAACTCGTGTGCTTCTTATCAAATCCGTTGATGCCAAGAAAATATTAATCCCCACAAGGTTCGCTTTTGTGAATCCAAGATGACGGGGTTCTGCTTACGAGCCACCATTTGGCACTTGACATACCTACTCTGTCCGTGCCGTTATTATCCTTCATCCATCTTAGTCTCTTCCACTTTCTGATGTCTTTTACTAATCCGACATCTTAGGGATTACTGGTGTATTATGGATCAACGGTGTTATACTGATAATAAGGTATCATGTCGCCACTTATGAATGTTTGGTGTCGTTGGAATAATGTAACAGGGTATCATAACCTCGTATGTACATACGCTGTCATAGTCGAGCAAACATTTTCGGTAAACAAATTTGTTTCTAAATGGTTTGTAGTAAACTTTGTTAACCCAATATGAATTTTGCATTGACGTACATATATAGTTATTTAGTCCTGGAACGACACAGTAGTGTTGAGAAATAGCTGTTGCTATAAGACCAAGGGTCACAAGTTATCGTCTTAATATTATCAATATCTTATTATATTTCTAGCAGTCTGTCCAAGTAGTTATCTAAAGTTAACATTACATCCCAAGCACAGAGATAATAGGATTCTCAGTAGGTTGATACCCTATGGATTATATCTATTCCCGGGCTATTCCCCAAAGGTCCAAATGGAATCGAGATTCATTTATACATTATTAATTCAATTAAATGTAAGCATATGTAGATCAATGAGGCATGAGCGTGTATTTGTTTTTGAAGATACAAGCTGGCACCTAAGACACCAATGTAGGTGCCTACCTAACTTCGAAAAAAGCATACGCCAATCCTATTCAGAACCAACAACCAACATACCTGGTAAATCTCAGATGGTATCAATTTAATAATGAGAATATGACAGACTTTAGTTTATGATAATATTTCAATGACCTGATCGAAGTTTTGGCCTTTTCCTCAAATGGCTCTTCCCTCAAGGAACAATTTAAAACTGATCTCTGGCTGCGATGTCAGAAAGTTAGGTGAAATCGTGTTAACTGGTTTTAATTACTTAGGAAACTTGAACAGTTTCTGAAAGTTTCTACGTCGATCAACACCAGAATGGATGCACCTGAGAATGCAGTCGTTCCATCCTTTGCTTTCCTAGTTCCCCTATTAGTTTTCTCTATGTTCTTATTATCAGTCCAGCCAATTACTTCTTCGTTTAGTCGATCGAAAAGGTTTTAACAACGGGAACTTTACTAATAATTCATTCCTTTCTTCCTTCTTTCAAATTTTCTTCCTATGAATTTAGCTGTAATATGAAAAAGCCATTGACATTTTAAGCCGGTATCGTTAGGGCAATTGTTCATATTTTGCTGCTGTTTGTTTAATTGTAAAAAAAATATGGAGAGATCAGCATATGTTGACAATAAAACGACATACAGTTGTCATAACACATGGGAGGATGCTTCGAAACAACTGCTAAGTTGGGTGGGTCAATAGTGAGACTCATGTTGTCCAAGGAAATTTATAGGTAAAATTACCTTTTTTGAGTGCGAATCATGTAAGAAGCAAAAATACATTTCACAGGACACGTTAAATTATTCATTTATTTGTGTATTCATCTTGTAATTCCAATTAAAATCTACTTCTTGGTTAATAACGCTATTGCTGTGTCGGTAACTTACCGACGAATATAGCTGACCACATCTGTGTTTATTACTGTTCTTTGTTTAATGCAACTGTATTGGACAATTCACGATATTTATAGCAGCCAATAAAATTTCTGTATTTTTTGTAGGGACCAATAGCATTCCACCATTTTTAACCTTGATAAACTTAAATATTCAAGTTTCTATTTAATGGTATACATAATAATAAATATTTATATCAGGTTTATTAGTGGTTATTCATGAGAAATATATTAATTAGGGTACTATAGTTATATGTATGTTTGTTTGAAATTGGCTTTCAAATCTAATATGTACATACCGACTTTTCAGGCCTCGGGGCGTGTAACGGGAATCGTCAGAACTAAGTTGAAAATCACAGAAGTGTTCGTTAGTTTGGGTCCTCCTGCGTCATTGAAGTGTTCCTCAAAATCGAGCGGGGTTTCCCATTGTTCAGTACGTATTTATGATATGTATATAATGAGAAACTTAATTTGATAGTAAAACACACGAAACCGTGTATTTTCTGAGATCTAGTAGCAGGAAGGAATTATAAAATATTGTGAGTATCGCTTACTGTAAGTTAACCTCAAACCTCAAACTTTTCTGATATTTTCTGCCATTTTCTATTTTCCATTAGAATAAATACTTTCTAGCCACCAAATAAATATAAGTTTTTACTATGCATGAATATTGTTTTTAATTAATTGAAAGCAATTGTTGTTTTCTAAGGTACTTAAAGTATTTTAGGAAAAGATTAAAGTATCTTTCATGAAATAGTTATGTATAGTAAAATTCTTTGGTCATAAATTTCTTTTGAATTCATGAAGCACTTCGTCTAAACATAAAAATAATTTCTTAATAGGTAAATGGCTCGCATGTTCCAATATGTACGTCCTGTTGATGCTGTCCTGACATCTGTAACTTTGGGCACAAGACCAGATGTAAGTAGAACTTTACAAATCCTTTGCAGTTTATTCTCATTATCATATAAAACTAAAACTAAGTTTTAGTATATGAATGTTATTGCATATATGAACAAGATTTTGGACCTACGGTTTTTGTACTTAAGTTTTAGTACATGTATATGATATTTAACTATCGTTCACAAACTTTAAGCATTCACACAACATGATACTGATATGCGACATCTATATAACAATGGTGTCTCCAACGTATTCAATACTTTCTGTGAAAAATTCAGACTTTAAAAGGACTCTTATGCTTTTCCAGTTTAATCGCATAAAATTACAGTATTTTCATTGAAATTATTGTTGAGAATTTATGTTTTCTTTTTCAAATAAGAATAGCAATATTGGTTTATTCAGTGTTTATTTGCTAAGTGTCTTGGCTCATAAATGCTTTGTGTGTTATCCGAAATTTCAAATTATGAAGTTTTCCAGCTTTGTTAACTTTTTTGACAACACTTGCTGAACTTTTATTACTGCCGCACATTCCTACGTATACGCATAAAGTCGGGCAACATTACGTATAAATCTATATGTTTCATTAACAAAGAAGTATGGCAATGTATTTTTGTGTAAATGTAACGTGACTTCGAAGGTGGCTCAATGGCGGCGATTCGGTCAGTCGCTATTTTTAATCCTGTGTCTTACCCAGTACTGTTTATTTCTTGAATATGTATTGCAAATGAAATAATTTTTATCTTGTTTTATTAAAATTTGTCTGAAGTTGAAAAAGCGACAGAGTACTAAATTATATCCTCATACAATAAAATTTGGTAACGCTAGTTGCGGAAGTTTTGTTTGTGCATGATATTTAATCTCTAAAGAAATGTATTGCGTCGCAGTAGACCGTATTGCGAAAGAAAGCTGTTATTGGTTGGTATTCATGGAACATTCCCGGACGTCTTGACTGTTCTGAAAACATTGACTGCTAGCTTTTCTGCCAGTTCAGTGCTATCCAAGCCGAGCTCCGGCCTGCCGAGTGGTTCCCCCACTGCGTAACTGTTCCCTCATACAGGTTCTGGTCTGCCTGTGTTACGGTGCAGATATGAAAAGGCGGCATGCGGGCCGGCACAGAGACAGCAGGACTACTCGACTCGTCTGGAACCTTCCCGATGCGCTTGCCATTAGGTCTTGGCGGTATGCGCTGACATAGTACCAGAATTCTTTGCTCGTTATTCTTCTATCACATCCGATTTCGATGTGTCTCGTTTATTTACTTAGTCATACGGTGCTGTATGATTTTATTCCTTGACATTATTCGTGCGACTAATAACGAAAATACATATGTCCTGTGGTTAGGGCGATGTCAAAGGACGTGATAGGCCCGTGGAGAGATTAAACCCGCGCTCTAATCCTCTGCTTTTAAGTTCTTGGCAACTCGAAACCCCCTGCCTTTAGGTACTTGGCAGCATATGCTAACATACTAGAATCCATGTATCCGCGGTACTACGTTCGCACATGCCGATGAAAGTCTAAAAGCGGGAGCTTCGATAGAGCTGTGAACAAAGTCAGGCGATGCGAACTTACCTTTAAGTCAGAGCTCGGCAAGATTTGCACTTTTCAGCCGATTTTCAGTTGGTTCCGCCTACCGCTATTCCTCTTGCCGCGACGTTCAGCGCGCAGCCTACGAACCGTTTGAGGCTCAGGAGCGTATCACTCGCAAACATATGCTGGCAATAGCTTTCCACCTCACCCGCGAGGTACAATTGTCGATGCGTTTTTCTTTTAAGTGGTTGCCAGCATACGTTTACGAGTGATACGTTCCTGAACCTCAAATGGTTCGTAGGCTGTGTGCTGAACGTCGCGGCAAGGGGAATAGTGGTAAGCGGAGCCAGCTGAAAATTGGCTGAAAAGTGCAAATCTTGCCGAGCTCTGCTTTAAGTAGACATTGTGTGAAGACCATAACCTACATAAGGGAACCATTAGACATACCGGAGGTAGGTTTGGACAGTACTGTCCGAGATAGCGCGGTGAATGTTTAATTCACTTCCCAAATGAAAAAGAAACAATTTTAAAGGATGACTTAAATTTTGCATCACGGTTTCAATTTTGGCGGATAAAGGATGGAAAATTAGGAACATTAAAAAAAAATATATATACACATCGAATTGAGTATCCTCCTCCTTTTCGAAGTCGGATAAAAATGACTGTTATCGTCAGCCAGTAGCAGTTCAATTTCCTCTGTATAATAATAATGAAGAACGTTTCAATTTTTAGGATGTTGTATAAGGTTTGTATATTTTTTTTCAGCATTCTGAAAATGGAATAAGGATTAAAGAAGAACCACCAGATCTAGATTACGATGATCTGAATTATTTATTAACTGACGCGAATACAACAGCTCAAAATGTATCCACGAAATCTAAACAAAATCATTTAGATGTTGTTAATAATGAGAATAATGAACGCATTCTACGTCCAAGATCCGTCTGTTCCAACAAAGACAGTTCATATTTTACTAGAAAAAAACGTAAACACACCTTAAACGATTCCTCAGAATTGAAGGATTCTCAGCCAGCGAAGAAACCTAGGTTATATTTACGCGATATTCTACCTTTGCAAGTGGAAGATAATTTAATGATACCAACAAGAACATGTAAAATATGCTTTGTATCTTTCAAGTCGGTCCAGTCATTAAGCGTTCATTCAAAAATATACAATACTATATTGATATGCGAAATTTGCAATACACCGTTCAATTCGCGTCCGCAATTGCAGAGACATATATCGTGTCACTTTCATACAACGTTTATGTCTTCCAGAAAGAGTATTAGGTGTTGGTTCTGTAATCGATCATTCTGCGAAAAGAAACGCCTACAAATGCATCTATTTCATTGCCATAGAACTTTACTCGAAGATGAATACTCCTTACAAACTGATATTGACAAAATTCTAGAAAATATGGAACAACTTTGCAGAGTTAAAAGACATTCACACATAAGTAATAGTAGTACAGGAGTAACCACGGATACTGACAAAATCGAGAAAAATACATGCAGAGAGGACACTAATATACGTGTAACCAGGAATTCTGATAAAGTCAGAAGAAATATGGAGACCTCCATGACATCCGTAATCAATGATGTCGAAAGAAATATACCCATGAAGGAGGTTTTTACGATGCCTGCAACCAACGAAATTTACCAAACGAAAAATAATAAACGTGTGGATGATGCTATGGTACGTATACCCCGTGATGCTATCAAAATCGAAAAAGATACATGGGCGGTGGATGCTATGATATCTGTAACCGACGATGTTGAAATACTCGATGAAACTAGAGTTACAGCTTTAGAAGACATTTTGAACATCATTGGTGTAGTCGACGATACCGAAAAAAGTGCACCAATAGAGGACAGGGCGAACCGTATAATCAATGATGCTGACAAAATCGAAGAAAATAGACGTATGGAGGACAGTATGGAAGCCGTTCGTGGAACCAACGATATTACGAACATGGCTGCTGTACAGCCATGTTCGAACAATGATGCTGCGAGCGTGGCTGGTGGTACCAACTACGCCGCAGACATCATTGGTGAAACCAGTGACATTACGAGCATGGTTAATGTCACCAATGATGTCGATAAAATTGAGGAAAGTGCGAACCCTATAACGGATAGTGTAACACAGAATGTTGATCAAGTTGAACAAAATACACCAGTAGAAGGAAGTGCGAATCATGTGATCAGTGATAATATAAAAATAGAATCAAATACATCAATAAAAGAAATTACGGACAGTGTAATTGATCACATCAGTCAAAATACAACGGAAGCCAGTGAAAGCCGTGTAACAACGAATATTAATAAAACACAACGAAATGTACCAACAGTGAAAAGTGTAGGTCATGAAAAGAAAGTTGTTCAGAAAACTAGACAAACTCAAAAGCCAATAGCTAGTACCAATTCACCAACAAAGTTGAACACTTCAAGTCCAGGTAAGAAAAAGATGAGGCAGACTACTCTTACGGAGTTCCTTTCATTTTCTAATAAGAGTTTTAAGGAAGACGACATTAAATTAGAGAAAGTCGATATTCCGCAAGAAAGTTTTGATGCGAGTGCTCGAAATGCATCAAGAAACTTGACATTTGGCCGTACTTCAACTCCAATACCTAACTCAACTGCGGTTAATTTTTCTACCCCTAACACGCCGTTGCTGAAAATGCATATAAGTCCTAACTCGCTACTTGGTTTATTGAATGATGAAATAAAAAGTGAACCTGTCGAATCTTTCAATTCGGCCATTGCACAGAATTCACCTTATAATTTCAGAAAGTCAACACATGATTCCCGTCGATCATCTGTTGATTCTCGTGACGCGACTCCTTCCAGTGTAGCTAGTAGGAGATCGAGATCTACTAATACATCAAAACAGATCAAAAGAACAACGACGCCACTGGAAGAAAGGTGGAAGAATAAATATAAGTGTAAGGAGTGTGTAGTTCGTTTAGAGAGATGCGATTATGTTTCTAAACGAGTGCTTTTGAAGACTGATAGATCCGAAAGTATCATCCCTTTGCAGTTGACAATAGGATCAGCCGAAGGAACCGCTCGAAACGGTGATGTAATAAAACCCAGCAATCCAAGAATTCGAATAGTAAATTTCGATAATTGCATCGTTGTCGAACTGCTGGAATCAAAATAAAAGATATTTTAAACTCCTTGGAATCAGACATTTCGTTCCTTATTATTTAAGGACACTTCTATCTTTGGTAATGATGATTCAACAGGCATTCTGTTTGCTTCTCTGACTAACTCAACTAAATTATAATAAATAGTTACGGTAGTCATATGAAAAGAGAATACCTTGTGGATTGCTTATGCAATAGGTATGGGTTCGAATGCCAGTTCATAACTCCGGTAGATTAAATGCTTTTCTGCTTTTAAGTTTTTTAATGGATTGGAGTTCATTATAGTTATAGAGTTTCGTGTGGTTATATTTGAAGCTATAAGTGGTATGGCGCGGAATTTAGAAAG